CCCTAAAAAACTCCACATAGGGGAATGAGAGCACATTATGTCATAGTACCACAAGGTAATATCACACAGTGATTACAATTACAATTATGAAGACTATTAGAGAAACACTGGAAATGTTGAAAATGTGTAAAAAATATGAAATTTCATGTAAACAATGAATGCGCCTATACAAAAACATAACCATGTAATGAAACCACATGCATGTGGGAAAAAAGTGGAAGGCAATATATATATATATATTTTGTGGCAGAAGTGAGATTAAGAATGTATTTTATTTCCTTAAAATTTTATTTAGTGCTATTATATTGGGTTAGTAATTTTTGAAAAAGTGGAGGGGGTTGGGGCAGGTGAAAGTCATACTCCCCCAACTTCCTCCTATGCATTCTTTGTCCTATGTCATCAGTTCTAGGAGGGGAAGGGCCACATCTATTTATTCACAGTGTACACTCAGCTCCCAGACCAATGCCCAGAACTTATCAGGTGCTCAATAAATATTTGTTGAAAATGCTTGAAGTCTAAAAAGTCTCAACCCATGATGACTGGGTTCATTCCATCCTGGGGAATTAAGAGGAATTTGTTTTTGCTGGAATAAAAAAAAAACGTAGGCCCATCCACAACGGCAATACCCCGATCTTCTTGATAAGTGAATTTGGGCATGGAGAACCCAGGGAGAGACAGTCTGTTAAAGCAAACCCAATTACCACTCAGGAACATATGTTGCCCTGAGGCCTCTGCTGCCATAACAACATCGTGTAACTATAACTACAGCCCTGGAGGGCTTTGGCCCTGTCAAATATGGAAAAAGATGTCTTCATCATACCACAGCCTCGTACTCAGATTGACTTCCCAAGGGAGCGTGGATCAGGGAAGGCAGGCAGAAGTGAAGGAAAGGAGGAGATGAAGGGCAAGACTAGAACTGCTACTGAATCAGGATCAGAGTGATTTTTCTTTTTTTAGTAATTTTCAAAATGCAATTATTTGACTGTTTAGTTTTGGTGGTTATTTATAACCCCAGCTGCAGAGGCAGGGGAGCTGAGTCTGAGCCTGCTGGGATCTGTCCAACACCTTCCCCCGCCAGGGTGGGGCTGGGGGTGGGTGGTGGATAAGGGTGATACAAGAACAAAATTAACAAGTGGCCAAGAAGGTAAGAGAATTCCAGTCCATATCAAGCAAGAGTAAAAAAAGGACCATTAGTGACCGTGCTGACTATTTTTACAGCAGCCGCAAATGAAAAGATTTTAATATGAATTATGGTCACATCAGCAAACTCTAAGATTCTCCCAAAGGGATTAAGACTAGGCCAGTACTTATAGTCGGAAGTTATGAGATTGCCCTGGCACTGTCTTAAAAAGGTCGAGGCATGCTTGCCCACCTTACAGGACAGTTATCTGCCCACAGAAGAAACTGTTGCTCCTAACCCCTCCTAGGCATGTCACTGGTCAAAAAACAGGCTTAGAGGAGATGGCTGGTTTTGTGCAAGGCTTTCCTAACTGAGCCAGCACCTGGCAGCGGCCACCCCATTTACTGAGTCCTTGTAGATGCCAGGCAGAAAGGGAGAAGCTGGAGACAGTGTGGCCAGCCAGGCAAGGCTTCCAGCCTCCGGGAGCTCTGAGGCCTTTGAAGCAAACGATGAACAGCTACACTTTGTATTTGAAATATGGTACCTATCATTTTATTGGCAATTTAAAAAGAAATTGAGGGATCTTTTAGGGAGTTCATAAATGTACCTGAGGAGACAAGATACAGTTACAAAAAAGGAAATGCACGAGGACATACACTAAAGATTGAGGCCACTACCCCTGTCCTGTTTGGTTCTTCCTTAACTCTGGGTGAGGTTATTGCAGCAGCATTGTAACTGGTCTCCCTGCCACTCTGTTCAGTATCCCTCATAGCTTCCGGAAAGAGACTTTTAAAGTGCAAGTCTGATCGTGGGACTCCTCTGCTTAAAGTCCTTCAGGGATTCCCCATTGCCTCCAGTGCAAGCTCCTTAGCAGGGCATTCAAGGCTCTACATCAACTGGTTCCCTAAACCATTCCTGCCTCTTCTTTTGGCAACCACCCCAACTCCACCAGGCCATTAGTCACCCCCATACACAATGCTGCTCCACACCTCTGCACATGCTGCTCCCTTTGCATGGAAAGCCCCTGTTGTTCTTGTCCACGGGCAAACTTATTTGCCCTATGAAATTCCACTCTTATTTCACCTCTTCTATAAATTCTTTCCTAAACCCTCCAGACAAAACACTCCACTTCCTCCTCTGTACCACTTCTGCACCTTGCTCATCTTTCTGTTTCCCCATTAAAACTCTACAATGTTTTAGAAGATTGAACATACTGGTCTGGGGAAACACTGTGTTTCGTCCACATTGACACGACTCAATGCCTGTATATAATCATTCTGTGGCTCTTGAGCTGAAACGAGATTGAACAGGCAAAAGCAAACAACCACTGAGACCATATAAAGATACAGTCACAAGCATTAAGATGTTATAGCCATGACTAGGGTGACTGGAATTATATCAATAACAATGGCCATTTACTGAGCACTTGTACTCTTATCAGGAACCGTGCTAATGATCATCTCTTTTAATCCTTACAACAACCCTGTGAGGTGGCTATTAGTGTCTCCACTTCATGAATGAGAAAACTGAGGCACAGATAAATTTAAAAACTTGTTCAAGAGCAATGTAGAAAGAAAGTGGCAGAGTTGAAATTCAAATCCGGTTCTGACATCAAAGCCCTGTACTGGACACCAGTAAAGCTGATGCATAAAATAAATACGAGTTATATGTTCCTATTATTTGTTTAGGAGAGAAAGGAATAGAACAGCTACCAAATTGTATAAGGAAAAGTATAAATATAGAAGTAAGAGCAAAATAACATATCACTATGCCCTACGACCTAAGATAGAACAAACACGGACTTTCTGAAGAAAGTAAATTTTAAAGAAGGTTGGGAGATGTATCAAGGCAGGAAGAACAGCAGAGCTATACCTATTTGAAGTCTGGCAGATGAGGGAGGGCAAAAGGGCAATGGTCAGTTCCCGCTTCAAGAATTGTGTCATGACAAAAATGACACTCAAAGTAAAGATCGTTTGGTTCAAAAAAAAGAAAGGAAGAAAGAAAAACCTTTCAGGATTCTCCTTTCCCCATTCTAAATATACGGGGCTATTCTACTTTCATCTTGAGTACACATTTTTCTTATGATATTTCTATCCTATTGGTGTTAGTTTTTTCGTCTCTCTCTGCCAGAGTGTACACTTTCCAAAGATAAGAATTATGTTTAAATGAAACTAAATTCTTATAGTGTTAGCTGCAGTGTTTGAAAACTCAGTGTAAGAGATTAACTAATGTTGAATATTTGTAATGTTGGTATTTGTACGATGATGAATGGTTAAGTCAGGATAAGATCTTATTCTAAAATATTAATTTCACCATCTTTGAGTGCTATACATTCAGAGACTGAAACGGTAAACACATTCTGATCCATGAGCAAGTATTTGCTGTGGGTAGAGCATGGTCTGAGCACTATTAAGGATGGTATGAAAGAATTGAGATATGCTCTTAAGAGCTCCTTTCCACTAGTCGGGGAGCCAGACATCCAAGAGTGACCTCAAGAACACACCAGTAAGTGAAAAATAACAGTAATAGTGTGAAATTAAATGCTTAAGTGCTGGGGGTATGTGCGAAGAAACTCGAGCCTATTTCTAATAAGTTCTTATGTGCAGTTCAACGTAAGAAGGTTATTCAAAGGTATTTATATTAAACACTAAATACTAAATACTAAAAGCTGCCTGTGTTAATACCAGCCCAGGATATCCCCAAGGAGAGCGCAGGCTCAGTGGAACTTTAACTCTTTAGAGCTCTCTGTTTAGCACATCAATCAGATGTTTACTTTCTGTTGCTTTGTTCTTTAGCTCTGCGCCTGGGGGAAATCTCCATCTTAGTTGGCCTTAGGTAATACTGGGGCCCAGGATCCTAACTTAATGACTGAGCTTGCCTGGATTCCTCAGAGTCACTCTTGGCCAAGATCTGGTCCTCCCAAGACTTTTTCTCCAAGGAATTTAAATCCTCAACGCCTGCTCTCCACTTCCCAGCCTTTTCTTATGGCTCTTCTTCCAGCCTTATATCCTAACCAACTTTTTCCTAGGCCCCCTCGAAGATGGCCCTATTATTATTTAAATATCCATTTTTTTTTTTTTTTTAGCTCCAGCTTCACTGAAAATATTTTTTCCTCTTCGTCCCTCCCCCAACTCCTGGCTCAAGCATCGGGATTTCCAGAGGCCCCTTGAGCTAAATGGGATTCATTTGCTACTTCGAATCTGGTATAGCACCTCACCCACCCCCCGCCTTCCGCGGGCCACCCAAGGCTCTCAAACCTGTAGGAATAGGGGAAGGTGTTGGGCGCTCACCACAGAGCTAAACTGGGAATTCTTTGGAGCTACAGCTTCTGGAGAATGGTCTGCCTCCTTCTGCGACGTGAACGACTAACTTACTTGCTGTTCGCTACGGGCAAGGACAATGTCTCCTCTACCAAACAAGAAACTTCCTGACGGTGGACGCTACCCTTTTGTTCCCTTTAAAAGCCCCCATTCGCACCACTTTGAGACACAGGATGGCCCTAAAAGTAGCTTATTGTACAAAGTATCCCTTCTCAACTTTGAGTTTATATGACAAACGGAAACGTCCTTTAGCCAACTGGGCAACAAAGGGGTTAAATCTCCACAACCTGATGAATTCTGGGGGTTTCCTCTCTCGACTTCAGAAATTAAAACGACCGGTAAGGGAAATTTTGCCCAAGGTAAAGATGAGCACCTTTAACTTCAACTGTCGGACTTCTGCCCCAAACAATAATGGCTACCCGCGCCTACATAGGGTGCCATTCCCCTAACTAAAAATGGCTGGTCCCCGTTTCTACTCTGTGCCCGACTCCAAAATGGCGCTGACTAGCTTCATTAGAAGGAGCAAACTTCCCAGCACCCCATCTGGCCCGTAACGTCAGATGACGCGAGCCCTAGCCGGAAGTGAAGGAAAAAGCGCCTCAGCCCGCGGCGCCTGCGCAGAAGGCTCTAGACGCTGTGAAGCAGGAGGCACTTGGGATCGTCCGCAGGATTGGGACCGCTACAGAGGCCGCCACGGAGCCCGCCGGAGCCACCGTTCCTGCTGCTGCTGCCGGTGCCCGAATCGGAACCGTCGGGCCGCAGCCGCCGGCAATGCCGCGAAGGAAGGTAAGAGGAACGGGACAGGAGAGATGGCGGGTTTCTAAGGACAGTCGATTCAGCAACGTGACGCAGTTAGCCACGCCTCACAGTCCCTGGGTTCCAACTTCTCGCTGCCCGGAACCTAGCTCGGCAACCCTCTCTCCTGTCCGTACCCCACAGAAAATGTGGGCCCGACCCTGGCCTCTCGGCCTATGCTTGCAACTATTCCCGCCCTCTGCTTGCCTGGCTCGGAGGCGTTCTTCTTGTTAATTGGTCGCCGAAACATTTAGCAGCATATTGATTGGCTGGTGACACCGCCCATTTGGGCCCAACGGTCACCTCCCCGCGTGCGAGGGCGGTGTCTGGGCCTGACCCTAGCGCACTCGGACTGGCTGTAGGAAACGGTCCTTCCTCTCTTGATTGGCTGGGCTTGGCAGTCTGTCCCGTGGGGGCGCGGTTTAGTGGGACCACGATTGGGTGGCACGAGTCCCCGCCCTCCCGGCTGGCAATGCTGATAGGTGAGGAGGCGGGATTTTAGAGCATCCTTTCTTACCGGGCGGGGGGCACAACAAAGCAGAAGACTGGGGGATTGAGAACCAGCGCCCCCTCCCAAGAAATCGCACATTGGCCTATTGTATCTAAGCCGTAATTTTTCCTATTTGCTTAGTTAGACAGCGCTTAGAAAATGCAGTTAATAAAATCAGAAACTTTCTAAAATTAGACGAGACTTATGAGATCATTTTGGGACACCCCCATCCGTTCTCTTTGCAGCTGAACAAACAGGCCTAACGGAGTGCCCCCAGCCACTCAGGCAATGGCAGAGCCTGCACTACATAACAAATCTAATCTAATTCAACAAATGTTTATTGACTACTTGCTATGTTCTGATTGCTGGGGATTCCGAAATTAATTAGACATGATCTCTGGCTTAAGGAAATCACAGTCTGTTGGGGAAAACAGACATATAAGTAACTGTAGAAGGAGCTAATAAATTCTCTACTTAGAAGTATACATGCAAAGCATTATGAGAGGGAAATGAGGGAGCAAGTAAATCTGCTCTGGAGTAAGATGAGAAGTTGGTGAAATACGGAGAGGAGAGCTGAGTTCCAGGGTCAAGACAGGATGGAATGGTTAGAGATGATCAGGAATTCAAATATCTGGGTGATTGACTAGATGACCTTTAAACCACCCTCGCTCCCTTCATCCTATTGATTTTCTGTGACTCTTTCTGGGGCCTCTGCTCATTTGTGGGCAGATTACCTTTGAACTATTTGGAAAGCTGGGAGTTATTCTTGCTCATTTCTGTGGAAATATTTCTCTTCACAAACGCTTTCAAATAAAATATTTACACTTTTTAATGTCTCCTAAAATGACCTACATTGGTAGGTGGTGTTTATGTTAAGACTCACAAAATGTGGGAATAGTGTTGGTGCCTTGGAATAGGTCCACAGTCCTCTGAATACAAAGAGCTCTTGAAAATGAGCTCTTTGTTTTTGGTGGCAAAACCTGTCCTAAACTGTCCTGAGGCCACTTATAGCTTTTGTGTGTCTCCTTTAGTATGATTGTTTATATATTTTGCTGCAGAAATGTTAATGTTTGATTGTGGGGTGTTATTTCCAAGATATATGCAAAGATTCCCTTACAAAAATCTAAAAAAATTATGAATTCTAAACACAACTGGCCCTAAGGGTTTTAAATAAAAAATAGGGAACTTGTAGTTTGAAGCTTTGTATTTTTTTTTTTTTTTTTAAGCACATATTCTTCCCTTTCTGGTTTAGTAAATGTTATAGTGTTAATGCTCAATTAATAAAAGTTATCCTTATGGCCAGTCATTCCTCAGGAGGCTAATAATTGACAAATAATTATTAATTGAAAAGAATGATTTAAAAAACCCCTGTGTTTCTGAATACCCATAAGTCTTTGTGTTCAAGCTGCCTTTTTTTTTTTTTTTTTAAGCACTTTTAGTGTTCATTAGTGTTCATGTGGAGAAACTTGAAAGGTAGAAGAATTTTACTCTTTTTCTGCTTATGTTCTTTTGGGATCAGAGTTGTGGACCATGATATTTTGAATTAGTGTTTGGCTTTTTAAATATGATAGCTACCCTAAAATTAAATGGGGTCTAGCACTAACATTTTTCTCACTACCTTGGACTTTCTGTAAGTGCATAGTTATGTCAGTCAGACCTTTTTGAGTTGGATACTTTTAATTCCAGTTTGTAATACTGACCTTCAAATGGGCTTGTTTGAGAATTAATCTTAATACAGCAAGAATTAATTCTCCTTCATTTATTTAATAAAGGTACATTATTTATAGGCTGTTCTATTTAAATGCTCTAAATAAAGAGAAGTTGGCTGTGGAATCCTTTCTTAGATTTGAACTTGGTGATTTCATGGTTCATCGTTTAATTTCTAGTGTTAATACAAATCCACAGAATAAATGCTGCTGTGCTAATGTCTGGATCTATGGTGTTACAGAGGAATGCAGGCAGTAGTTCAGATGGAACCGAAGATTCCGATTTTTCTACAGATCTCGAGCACACAGACAGTTCAGAGAGTGATGGCACATCACGGCGATCTGCCCGAGTCACCCGTTCCTCAGCCCGGCTGAGCCAGAGTTCCCAAGGTAAAAGGCTTCATCTTCCTGACCACGCCTCACAACTGACTGGTCATCATATTACTACTGGGCTAGTTAATGTAGAAACTGATCCCTTTGTTTGATGTAGATGACAGAATCTGGTAAAATACAGAATAAATGACTACAGAGTAGTCAAGTTATTTAAAATGGTTCTATTGGGGGTGCTGTCCAATTTGTAGATCCAAAGGAACTATGTCTGGTATAATGGATATATGACACATGTATGTCTTGAGTCATTTAATTTTTTTTAGATTATATCTTTTCACTTCTGTTAGAATGATTTAGACTTAGGGACATAAAATAGTCTCTTGAACTTGTTTTTGGAGGGGACCCAATACTTCTAAAACCATGTTTATTTCCGTAATATTGTCAGATACACAATTAATAGATAGAAATAGTTAGCCCAGTTATTAATTGTAAATACCCATCTGGGCTTAGATTTGGAGGGTACCCTGACCCCTCCTGGGTCTGCTCTGGGATTCCCTGGGGATGAAAGAAGAGTGCAGTTAATCAGAAAGCGGATGATCAATAAGTGATAATAGATTAAGGGGGAAACATGTAATATACTCTGAACACTTAAATATTGCTGATTTGGTTACTGCTGTGGGAGCATGTTACAAAATGAGAGAAAAACATCAGTTTTTCAAGGAAGAAAGTGAGAATATTCTCTTGCAATAACTGTTCCTAACTTTATGTTTGAATTTAACATTTCAACCGAAGAATAGCTGTTGTCTCTTGATTTCTCAATTTTTAAGTTTTATTTTTAGCACAGTAGAAATGTTGATAAATGACTACTATTATTCAGGCACTATGCTGATCATTGCAATTTATCGTGGTAAGGGCTCTGAGAGATGTTTGCATGGAGTACTATGGAAGCCTAGAGATGGGGCAGCCAAATGAGGGTGGGACTAGATTTCTCATATAGAAATCTTAAAGGATCTAGTATGAATTTACAAGTTGAAAGATGGGAAGGTGTTGTTATAAGCAGAAGGAACAATGTATTCAAAGGAAGTGGCATAATGTTTTTAGAAAGCCATGCCCTGAGCACCTAAAAGTTTTTTAAATATTCAAAACAGCTAGGAAATACATGAGCTCTGGGTCTCTAGTTATTATACTTCATGACTACAGAATTACAACTCCTGAGGACACCATTCACAGTGTAGTCTATGTATGGTAGCCCTCTCTAAAGCAAAATATAGACTACGTTGTAAATGGAGCTTCCAGTGTGTGCAAACTGATAACCTAGCTGTGTGCTTTTACACAAAAGTTTGAGAATTTGTTTTCTCCTTGTTTAAAATATGCTTTAATTTCAGCTTTAAATTTCTTTTATGTTTTTTTAAGCATCATCAGCATGGAGATGTAGAAAGGCTGCCAGGTGCTTTAGAATATGTTTTGCCATCCAAGAGAATTTTAGAAGCTGTTTTCTTGCCTTACCCTTTATGAGTCTATTATTATTTTGCTTCAGGGTATCAGAGAAGGTAATAAGGAAGGAAAAGAGATATCCCTAAGGAAATATTTGTATATTGTTCTACCTTTAGTAATAGAATATCTATTTTATGATGTGTTAAAATAATGGAAGGAAGAGAAGATGCACCTAGTGTTTATAAAGTATTAGATCTGTGTACTAGGCATCATGTTAAGTGCTTTACATGTGTTATCTCACTTATTCCTCACAACAAACATGAGTAACATGCTACTACTATCTTCCCCTTTCTATAGATCATGAAATAGGCTTGGAGAGATTAACTTGTTTAAGATGCTACAGCTAGTTGGTATGGTGGAGTGGAATTGAATCATGTTCAGCCTTGATTCCAGAACATAAACTATATTCTGTACTATATTATATCTATATATCTGATCTAGGCTCTTTTGCTTATATTTCATTTAATAAAAGAGGTATTTTAAAGATTTGTTGGATTTTGTGAAGTCAGGATAGCCTACATGCTATAAATCATATGCGTGGGAAATAAAACCAATTTCCTTTTTTTAAAAAATATTTTATTACCTTTTAAAATTGGGAACAGATTCCAGTCCTGTTCGAAATTTACAGTCTTTTGGCACTGAGGAGCCTGCTTATTCTACCAGGAGAGTGACCCGAAGCCAGCAGCAGCCTACCCCAGTGACTCCGAAAAAATACCCGCTTCGGCAGACTCGTTCGTCTGGCTCAGAAACTGAGCAAGTGGTTGACTTTTCAGATAGAGGTGAGTGATATGATCTGATTTGGACCCATTACAGAGAGGGTCTGGTAAATTTCCCCTTAAGAAAGGCTTGGGGCCATTGCAGTTAGATGTCTAACATTGACAACATTTCAGATAGGTGAATGCTGCTTGCCTGACTCCTTTCTTAGATCTTGCTGATGACAGTTTGGTATTAGAGTATTCCAGACATTCAGAGTAGCCAAATAGATTAGATTAGATCTGCAGTGGGCAAAAGGGTATAGGTACCTCTTATCCACAGATCAAGAAGGTTTGGACTCGATTTTCTTATAGCCATACTCATTAGTCCAGTTACCTCTGATTTTCTGAGAAGCGGCATCCTTCAGTGATGGGGAATGGTAAACAATTGAGATTGTAATTCCCTAGCTCAAATCAGAGGCCTTTGAGCAGAGGTTGCAGACTGATGAGCTTCTAGCTTACAAATGTGGTTGGTTGGTTTGCTTGCAGATTACTTACATTAAAAAATTTTTGTTGCCAATATTTGAAAATACAGAGATTTCATGTAAAAACCTGGGTTACTAGTTTCTTTTAAAAAATAGAAAGTTCTGGGAACATTAGGTAGCCATTTACCCACAGTGATAATTGGTTGGAGCTGTCCCTTGAGGTGGACAATCAGCTCTCTATTTGGCCTTGCTCAGCCTCTGTAGGCATTTGGTTTGCAACCCATGGTTTTGAGTCTGTAATTGTTAGATTCCCAATAGCTAACTCAGAAGTCAAGTTTATTTACACTCTCACACCAAACCTGACCATTTTCATTTGTCTTTCATCTTCTGTCTCCTGGAAAGAGAGTGGGATGGTGATGTTTTTAAAAATTTATTTCTATTCTGTTTTGATTACCTATGAGTGGGGGCTTAGGAGAAACAGGTAAGTGAAATGTATTGGGTAAAACCCAATTTAATTTTAGTCAGAATTTAAAGTTGCCCAAAATAGTGTTCGATTCTCTTCATTTTACATTTAGCCTTATAGTAGATAAATGACAAAAAGTTACTAGTTAAATCATAGAAAGAGGATCTGGGAAGCCCATAAACTCTTTCAAATAGTAAACGTCTAAATAAATGAACCCCATTTACGAGTTCTACCAATTGCTTTTGTTTTAGAAACTAAAAATACAGCTGATCATGATGAGTCTCCCCCTCGAACTCCAACTGGAAATGCACCTTCTTCTGAGTCTGATATAGATATCTCCAGCCCCAATGTGTCTCACGATGAGAGCATTGCCAAGGACATGTCCCTGAAGGACTCAGGCAGTGATCTTTCTCATCGCCCCAAGCGCCGTCGCTTCCATGAAAGCTACAATTTTAACATGAAGTGTCCTACACCAGGCTGTAACTCTCTAGGTGAGTGTGCCCCAGCTTTATGACACCCTGTATTCTGTGGTTCTCTCTCCCTCTGGAATTAGGATCACAGAAATGTTTAGTGTTCTGTTGTGACTCACCTTCTTAGGCTCTTCAGTGATCACATGCTCAGGGTAACAACGAATGGCCCACTTGAATAAAAGCATTTCTGCTGCTTGGCCTATTGTCTGTAATAATAGATCTGGTTGCAAGGAAATTAAGTGTGATGCACCATTTAGTTTCTTGAGAGCTTTTCCCAGTGAAAAATTCTCTCCTTTTTCTAGCAAAAATGAAAGAAGACCAGTTATCTTTAAATATCTCATCGTATGGTGCATAGTTCAAGCTTACTAAAGATTAATAGAGTGTCAGATAGTGCAGAATAGTAGTTGTATGGCCATAACTGTTAAGGAAATGAGAAAAACATTACATACTTATCGAGAGACAGCGAAGCTAAAAGAGTATAGGTGAGACCTTGGCCTTTTGCAACTTCAGTAGTTTTAGGTCTTGTGACTTTGTGTACTTAGTATAAACTAGATAAATATTTCTTCTAAGATAAATGAGTATTTCATTATTTTCTTATGACAAACTTTTACCCCTGAGGGATTCTTATAATGGTTTAAACCTTATTTGTGCTCCCCAGGTGAGCTTAGGTGCATATGTTGGGCTTAAGCTATCTAGAATTGGAAGGTGCTGACTCAGAGATAAGGGGCCTTTCACTACTTGGTCTACATCTCAAACTTAGCCTTTGAATGTGGTCACAGGTTCAGAAAAAAGGTAAAACAGTATATTGATGCTTTGCAGTATATTTTCCCTAGTATTTTATTAGTTTGGATCCTTTCCTGGTCTTAGCGGCAGTTTCTCAAATTCAGTCCATCAAAATGCATAAAGTAGAGTAAAAGTTTCTCTGAATGCCATACTAATTATTACTCAAGATAACTTGTTTCAGGCCTAAGTCAATTTCCTTGTGATAAGTAATGAAAAACTAAGAATAGACATCATATAAATGCTAGTAAAAGAGATAGCTAATGTGCTAAGAAGGTAAGGGGATTCACCTGCCCCGCAGCAAGGAAAGGAACTTTCCTCAGCTCTGCTAGTCACTATCCCTAAATTGTTACTTTTATTTTCTGTACTGTGTTTAATCAGTCATTTAATAAATACTTGTTGAATGTTTGCCATGAACTGGATACTTTTTTAAGTTTAGGGGGATATAGTTGTGAACATGTCAAAGTCCCTACCCTCATGAAGCTTATAGTCTTAACTGAGGAAGACAAACCAGGTTGGTACATCAAATAGTGATATATACTGTGAAGGAAAATGAAGAGAGTATAGAGATGGTAGGATGTTATGCCTGCGCATGCACACATACACTATATATTTCTTTTTTGTTATTATTCATAAAAAAGTGGTTGGTTTGACATCTTGGCTCTTTTACATTATTAGCACTTAGAGGTCCATCCGTCTAAAGGATACCTAGAATTCCATTGTATTGATAATTCATGAATTATTTAAATTGTCCCATATCATTTGACATTTAGACTGTTTCTCATTCTTAGCTATTTTGAACAATACTGTAATGGATGCCTTGTATGTACATATTTTGGTGACTTTTTAGATAAATTCATAGCAGTGGAATTTGATTATAGAAGAAGCCTAAATTGTTGGGTCAATAGAGCATCTATCATTTTTTAAACTTTCAGTATAGATAATGTTAGATCAGTTTTAGTTTACATATTATAAAATAAAACATGATTTGAATAATTTACTCAAGTTATAGATGCCTAATAGTTAAAAAAGGTTGCTGTAGCAGTGACATTTTACATTTTTTACATGCTGTTTGATCATTGAGGGTAGTTTTTGTGTCCAAGATAAATTGTACGGATTTCTAAAATTATATTTTAAATAATATAGTCCCAGAGAAATGGTAGCCTGTATATCATATGTTAATTCCCCTCCCCGCCCTGATCTTGGACTATTTTTGCCCTTTAAAGCTTACTCTATCAATCATGTATAATTTTTTTAAATCCCAGTGTCTCCTTTACCCTGAATTAAATGTCTTTTTCGTGAAAGAAAGGTGAAGATATTTGTAGACTTGCAGGTTAGCTTAGCCAACTTATCTTTTTATCTCGTTAGCATTATCAAAATATGTTTACTTATGTGATAGAAAAGGTCATTTTCTTCTTCATTTTTCATAAAGTTTCTGTTGATTATTGAAAGTTCAATTCAGACTGTATAGGATTGCATTATAGAAAGGAAAATATACTTGTTGTATATATGACTTGATCAATTTAGCATAGGAAAGTTAAATTCCACAAAAAAGAATATTTCAGCTTGTAATTTTGTGCCTTTATTATAAATGTATGGCTTTATGACATTTTGGAATTTGAGAAATACATCATCAGAACAGAAGAAACTATAGTTTATATTGAACATACACAAGCTGCCAGATCCAGTCTGTGGAAGAAAAAAATTGATTGTGGGTACGAGTTATGGCCCTAACTGCACTTACCTTTGATAGACTCTGTCTGATTCAATCTGTTTGATCAGACATATATTTGATAAAAATGATAGAGCAAAAAAACATGTTTGTTGTGGAGAAATATCGCTTTTTAAACTTTAATCTTCTATCTTGACATTAAGTTTTCCCCTTCTTTACCAGGACACCTTACAGGAAAACATGAGAGACATTTCTCTATCTCAGGATGTCCGCTATATCATAACCTCTCAGCTGACGAATGCAAGGTAATTGTGTTGTCATTTATTCAATGTGTATTTATTGAGTGCTTACCATTTGTCAGTCACTTTGCTAAACAGTGGGGATCCAGTTTGAACAGTAGGCTTTTAAATTCTAGTAGAGGAAACATCATAAAAAGTAATTAGATAGATAAAATAATTATATAATGAGTGCTTTGAAAACAGTTAAGGAGATTATTTACGGAATATTTGGAACATCACCCTCTAGCGCATTGTTTTTCATTGGAAATTAACTTCAAAGACTGCTAGGGACCTTTCCACTAAGGACTAATTTGCATCAGTATGTGGTCTTAATATTTATGCATTAGGTTCTCTTGTAAATCTATGAAGACATTTTACTTTTAAAAAGTTTTTCATGATTCTTTTTCTCCGTCTACTTCTATGGAATACTTTTTCTTTTTTCTGACTCTCAATCACACTGTGAGGAAGCAAGAGTTGAAAATGTTATTAATTAAATGGATTGCTTGGGTAGTATTTGGACAAGTTATCCAAGCTGGTTAGACCAAAGTATTAATTTTTTTTGTGATTGTTATTTTACTAATAATGCGGAGGTCACAGGTTTATTCCTGTCTGAGGCAGTTTCATTGTGAGAAAAATTAGATTCCCTAGCTAACATCTGTCTGACTCAGGAATTTGTTCTCTTATTTACAAGTCGACTAGAGGATAAACTGTTTCTTTATGTTTAGTCTTTCAGCAAAGTACTGTACTTTCCATGCTTATATGGCTTTAAGATTGAGAACATTTACTCTTATCTTCTTCATCCCAAATCTCTTGCATAAGAAGGCTGTTACTTCTGCTCTGTGTAAGAGTAAGTAGTAGGTCTTCCCATTATCTTCCCATCAGTCTGAGACCTGATCAAAACAGGAACAGTTCTGCTAACATCTGTATCAAAGCTGATAAGGTGTTAGGATCTTCTTTCTCTGAATAGCTGTGATCTCTGTTTTCTGAGAGTTGTCCTCTACCACCTGTCTTTAAATGGAACTATCCAATACTGTCAATGGTTTTACATAAAAGTCTTCCCAAGGTATAACTTTTAAAATTGTTGACTTGTAGCAATATTAACATGTTAACATAAGCAATTTATTTTTAAAGAAGAAAAAAAAAATTTCAGTTTGGGGAAGAAAATTCTGAAAAAAGCAAAGCATTTTTTGAATTTTTTCTTTCATGCTCTCTTCTTTACAAGGGGAATCAGGTTCAGCATAATCCATCTTTACTACTAGAACATGTGCTTGGAGGATCAGGAGAATTTCTGAAAGATGCATTTTTAAATTATATTTAAAATCCCAAATGGAAAGATTAGACTAATCCTCCATATTTATTAAAAGCTCTAGAGTATTTTAAGTACTTACATATACATGATCATGCTGACTTCCCCAGTAAGCTATTGCTATCAGTAATATGAACATTTTTATTCAGTCCTAGATTTTGGTGACTTCACGTGCCAAGCGCTGTTACAGGTATCCGAGGATTCTGTAAATGAGATAAAAAGCTACTTCATTCAAGGAGTTTATGTTCTCATGAAGGGAGGCGATATCAATACGTAAATTAAGTAAATAAGAATTCTGTATAGTGATAAATGTTGTGAGGAACAAAAATGGCTAAAGATACAGAGAGCGACATTTTTGGAAGTAACGAGGGTATAGCACTGCTTTTCCAGAGGCATTGGCATTTGATCTGAGTCATGGCTGACAACAAAGAGGCAGTTGTGTCAAGATTGAGGAAGAGAACTATAAGTAGAAGGATGAGCAAGTACAGAGGTTATGAGGTGGGGAATAAACTTTGAATATTGTTGGGTTTGAGGGAAAGTTGGCCAGTGTGGTTGATTCATGATGAGAAATGAGGAAGCAGGATCCAGATCATGAAGGACCTATAGGCCTTGGCACAAAGAGGATGTTTGCATTCTGATGGCAGTGGGGAGCATCTGGAAGGCTTTAGCAGAGGTATGATATAATGTCATAAACGATTTTTAAAAATCACAACTGGCCGATGTGTGGAGAATGGACTGGAGGGGGCAAGAGTTCACTCAGGGTAGACTAGTTGGAAGGCTGTTCCAAAGTTCAGTAGATAGTGACCCGGACTATGGAGATGGTAAGAATTGGTTGGATTCAGGATATATTTTGGAGGGGAGCAGCCTAATAGACTTGCTGATGGATTCAATGTGAAGTATGAAAGAAAGAGAAGAATCAAGCACAGTGATCAAGTTTTTGACCTGATCACTTGCTTAGAAAGTATTGCTCTTTATTACTGTAGGGAAGATTTGGGGGAGGAGCAGATCTGTGGGAGAATGTCAGTCTTTTCTTTTCACCATGCTGAGTTTTAATGTTGAAGTTGAATAGGTAGGTGGATGAGTCCTCCCAAGAGATGAAACTATTGGAGAGCTAATGTGATTTGTGTAAGATCACGTAACTACCGAGTTGTTTCCCTATAGATCCAACCTAACTAACATTTTGTTTGTACTTCACTCTGTTCCTGAACTTCCTCACACTGTTTCTTATTCATTGTACAGTGGAAAGAATACAGGCTCAGAGTCATCAGACTTAATTAAAATCTTAGCTTCACTATGATTTAGCTGCAGTTATTTCAGTTCTCTGATTCTCAGTTGATGGCTGAGAGAACAGAATGTGAAGCTTGCCTTATCTGTATCTTACAGATTTTATGATAATGTGAAAACCCTTTGAAAATAAAAGTATCACGTCAATTCAGAGGATTTATTCTTGTATTCTTATGCTTTAAGTGAACATAGCCTTAGAAGCAGGTGGATTTATTGACGTTGTTGATGGTTGCAGGTGAGAGCACAGAGCCGGGATAAGCAGATAGAAGAAAGGATGCTGTCCCACAGGCAAGATGACAACAACAGGCATTCAACCAGGCACCAGGTATGGGCCTTGTTAAAGCTCTGGCCGTTCAGTTTGAGAGCCAAGTCTTGGATATCCTCTGCCCCATGACTGTCTTTAGGTATATCCATGTCTCTTACTTCCTATGGTATGTTTAAATAACTGGTCTTTAGTCAAAGTCAGAATATTTGTTTTCCAAATAGTCAATTTTCATAAAACAAACACATCTCATAAATGAAGGAATCATGCTATCTATAATAATAATCACAATAATAATATAATGATAGTAGTGAAAGATAATCATGATTATTTGAAAGATTGTACTTGCTGCTCTATTTCCTCATTTTGCATCTACTTTTTAACCCATTATAACTTACCTTTAAGCCGCAGTACTCTGCTGGCGTGTTTCCAAGGTCACCAGTGACTTTTCCTTAGCATCTGACATTTGTTGATTGTCATTTTTCTTCTCTCTTTCCTTGATGCTGCTTTGCCCTAATCCTTCTGCCTCTCTGAACATTCCTACCCATTGATTACACTTACTTCCTTAGTCTTCTCTGAATGCCTTTGGTCTTTACTCTTTGTTTTTCTGCCTTGAACTCTATGCCTATCCCAAGAAGAAATTGTATTTATCCTTCAAGGCTTTGTGCAACTCTCAGCTATTGTAGAATTCTTCCCAAAACTTCTCTTACCATTAACGAATTTCTTCTTCATGCCATTCCCATTGTAATGTTCTCAGAATGTTAGTTTAGACCTTGTCATGTATTAATATACAAAGCTCATCATATGGATGTCAGTTTTTGTGGTTAGATTATAGGTGGATAGCAGAAGCATAGCAGTGAGGGAGAAGTTTGGCTTTGGAGTCAAACAGATCTGAATTTGAATACTGGGATTCTGTTACTCTTGGGCAGGTCAGCTAATTTTCCTAAACTTTATTTCCTTATTAATAAAAAGGAGCTAGTAATACCTACCTGGCAGGGTAGTCAGCTGAATTATGTATATAAGGTACCTATCCTTAATGCTGAGTAGGTAATAAACACTCTATAAGTGGTACCTATACTTTTCTTCGTTGTCTGTCTTGGGTTCTATTCTTACTCAGTTTTTAAATTTTTATTCATTTTTGTATCAGTACTTGGAAAACAGTAGCATTCAGTAAATGCTTATTGAATTGAAATGATCTTTATTTTATTCCTATTGCTTTGATGGAGACGTCCATCCTTAATTTATGTTCTGTTTGGGTTAATATTAAAATAAGTACATTCCTGAACTCGTATTAACTAACAGTAAGGGTAGGGGTCTAGGTGATGAGGGAACTCAATTTGGAATTTTTAAATTGCCAATAGTATTTACAGGGTGGCTGTCACACATCTGGCATTCCTACCCCCTCATTGATTTTGTCGTTGTTGTTATTACTGTCATCTTGAAACTAATCACATAATGAGTTTTCCAGCTAGCTTCTTAATTTTCTCCTTTACCTTTTAGGCACCAACAGAGAGGCAACTGCGCTATAAGGAAAAGGTTGCTGAACTCAGGAAGAAAAGAAATTCTGGGCTAAGCAAAGAACAGAAAGAGAAATATATGGTGAGAAGTAGTTAAATATTTAATTAGCATGAACTCTTGCCATCACATTTGATTCTTTTTGATTTCTAAGCGTCTGCTTTTCAGATTTGCATTTGATATTCTCTGTAAGTAGGACTGTTCTCTGGCGGTTAGTGTTTACTATAATCCCCCCAAACCGGTCTCTTAAGAGTGGGAATGGGAGGTCTTCTAAAAACAAAATACTGTTAGAATTTACATGAAAAAAAGTTCAATTTTCTAGTTGCTTGTAAACCTTACTTTAGCTTTAAAGTGTTAAATTTGCCCACTCAAACAAATGCCTGTGATAATGGAGATAGATATCTGTATAAGGAAAAATATTCAAGCTAAGTTATGGTTCACTTATTTTAATGGAAAAAATAAAATTCCTACATGATAAAAGATATTAATTCAGTGATATAGTTTTTAATAGAACTTTTTATAGTAGGTTAACATTTTTTTTTCAAGTTTTGAAAGTAATGCACATTTGTAATAGAACTAAGAAAAGCGTATAGAAATAAACGTTAATCCTACTACCTAAAGATAACCACAATTGGCATGTTAGGATATGTCCTTTTCGCTTTATACATGGTGCCTTATTTATGTAATTTAGATATTACTGCAAGTACCACTTTGACTTTACTATCTTAGTAATTACTGTGTTTTCACTTTAATATCTTAGACTAATTTCTTCATTTTGTTAAAAGTTCTTCAGAAAACTTTTGTATAAAATTTAATTTTTAAGTAAAGATTTATATTATTATGTACCTGTTAATAAATGCTTACTATTGAAAATACCAAAAAAATCGAGAAAAAAATTCCAATAAAAATTACCCTCCAGGATATAAACCACTTAACATTTTGGCCTGTGATCGCTCAGTCTTTTTCCGATTCATATTTTTTTTTTCACAGAGTTGGAATATTTACTTATTTAGTCATTAGACTTGATTATTAAACATTTGATTAGTGACTACTTAGGCAGTCAGTATGGCTTCAATAAGACAAAAGTTTGCCAAACCATGTATTTACTTTTTTGGTTGTTATCAGTCTTGAAAATGACCTTATAAATAAATAGAGATGAGCCAATGTGAGATGGGTGGTTGATTGTGGGGTGAATTTGTAACTAAATACTCACACCAGACTGTTGGGTTTGTAGAGGAAGGGCTCGAGTAGTAGGCTCTGGGGTGCACTGTTGTATTCTTCTGTCCTGTTCAGTATTTTTATCTACAAATTGGGTAGAGGAGAAATGATAGTGTAATACATTTATTTAGTGTTTGTGCTAGGCACTGTGGTTATATTGCTCTCATAATCTTGTGGCAAAAATAATGTTTCACTTATTTTATAGCTGGGAAACAGAGATTTAGAGAGGAAATTTCACCCAGAATCATACAGGTAGAAAGAGTATCCGATGTAAAACCCTCCAAAATTTACCTTGCAAACATCTGCTTTTCAGTAGTTTGGGCTAGGTTATTTGGACCCAACCTTCCTGGTAAAAATGCCGGATAGGATTTTTTTTTTTAAATCCTTTAAAAAAAAAAAAAAAGTTCGTAAAACTAGAAAAAATAGCTAATACTTAAAACCTAAGTCTTAAATGACGAGTCCAAATTCAAAAAGATATCCTTCAGATGAGCCCAGATTAACTGGAAGAAATTTTACTAGGAATAAAGGTACTACTGAATGGTTTCTTCCTATGCTAATGATGTGTGAAATCTGTAATGTTCTCCTTGCGATGAGCCACCCACTCCACCTAATTACCATTATCTTCCATTCTTGTTGGGGGTGGAGTCTGGGACAAAGTGGGAAGGGCTAGAATCAAAGATTTAAAAGGTTCGTTTCCTTTGTGAATTTTCTTTTCTGTGTAAGGATGTTTGTAGTGACTGCAATGGTAAGATTTGATACTTATTTAAAACTGGATTATTTTTATGTTTCTAATTTTCTGCCTTTTGTTATTAATATCTAGTAAAATATTTTTTAGAGTCCAGCATATTTTTCAAATGCACTTGGACTGGAGTTCTAAAGTGAGAGCATTACAAAGCCTTTTGTGGACAGTGGAATGGTAGGTGCAGCAATTCAATTGAAGGAATTTACAAAAGACTTTTGTCTAAGTACTGCTTTGAACCTGCAGTCTAAAATTTTCCTTTCAAGTCTAAAAATCTTAGACTCTAAGGCTTAGAGATTTGGTTTTTTGTTTTGTTTGTAAATGAGTGAGTATCCACCAAAATTCCTTCCAGATCTTAGGATTCTAGGAATTCGTAGTGCTTTTAGGTTTGTTGTGTTTTATTTATTTGTACTGTCATGCTCATTTTTCAGAGGGAAAAATGGAGGCATAGCGTTCTGATCCTTGAGGTGCTCATTTAAAGATAGAAGAATGAAACTTCCTTTTGGAGAGGTTGTAAGAGCATTTCCTTTCCAGATTCACCAGGATGGGTACTGGGTGTCCTCTGGCATTAACCTGCCTGGTAAATAAATAGTACGTATGTCTGTGCCAGATCCATGGTGCCCAGTATAATGCCTGGCAAGTAGTAGGCAATAAATAGCTTATGTTAGTGCTTGGCTCTTTTGTTGGCATCGATTGAAATGAAATAGATGTTCTTAGAAGCACAAAGTATTATACTCTGGTTATTTTCCTAGGAACACAGGCAGACCTATGGGAACACGCGGGAACCTCTATTAGAAAACCTGACTAGCGAGTATGACTTGGATCTTTTCCGAAGAGCACAAGCCCGAGCTTCAGAGGATTTGGTGAGTATTAAAACCTCTAAGCTGAGGACCACTTGTGACGGGCACTTAAGAACTGCCAAGAAGAATGGTTAGCAATCAGTTTGATGGGAATTAATGTACCTTGCTGTTTGAATCTCTTTCTCCTTCCCCCAGCTATCCTTATTTGGGACTGTCTTCCTTCCTATTCATATTTAAAATTAATTATCCCTTCCTCCCTTCCCTTGTCCCATAGAGTTTTTTTCTCTCCACCTCAGTTCCTGGAAGGACCTCTTTTATGGAGGTGATTATCTGGATAAAACAGTAGGTGCCTCCATGTCTCAGTTGGGTAATTTGCAATTCTGAGAACCTTGAGACAGGGAGATATACCCCCTGTTGTTCACTTAACCCAAACCGGAACTCCCCTTAGCAGGGTTGCCTCAGCCCTTCAATACAGCAATAAAATAATAAAAAGAACAGTGAAGGGGAATAATGAAAAAGGCTGTTGTTAGATATTTTAGAATTAATCTTTGATATTGCCAAGTTTTACACATTTGATGGTTTTTTGTTGTAACTTTTATCTATAGTTAACGTTTAGTTTTGATATCCTAGACAGCATTTTCAACAATTTTGCTTTAAGAAAATTGTGATTGAGTTTACTTCTGATTTAATAGATTAAATATGTTCAGGGAAACTCAGTTTGTAAAGTGAATGACTTTTTAAAAAAATTGTATCGAATAATTTGTTTAAAAATCCTAGAATAGACTTGTTAAAAGTTTTGCAGGAGGCAGTTTGCTAGCTGCCCTTGGCTGGGATGGGCTGCTACTACTGTTTTTCTCTGTCCTCCTCTGAAAAAGAGCATTTCCTAGGCTGGCCTTTCTCAGTGCTCTACCTGATTATGCTTAAAGATTATTTCTATATCTAAGTCATAGCCACTGCGTGGAGATAGATATCCAAACATGTTCTGCTTTCTAGACTTTAGATTCCAAAATTAAAGCATTGTCCATGTTTCAGAAATATTTTTGAAAGTACCTAAGTCGAATGGGTGACCACTGTGGGTGTATGTCATGCAGATCGACAGAGCTTTATAAAAGCTTCCGGAGATATGTAAAGCACAATCTGGCTGATCTTTTTTGTTTAGAATATTTTAGAATGTTTCGTAAAGGTGAGGAATTTGTATTTGTGGTACATTGCCTTTTATAATTCAATTCAGGCTGATAAAAAAATTTTACCAGGAACTTGTTCTCATGTTCAAGTGATGAGGCCCAAAGTATGGTAGAGAGCAGAGAAGAGCCACTCTTCTGTACCCTGAGCAATGCAGATAGTAAGTTTTCCATAAGCCTTCCTGATTATCCCATGTAGCCCCCTTCAGCGCAAGTTTCGCATGAGTTAGAAGCCAAATGTGTTTGATTTTTTTCATAGCCGAGCCTGGTGGCATGCACACAAGCTTACAAAAAATACAAATGATTACAATTGACCTTCAGACACATGTTTTTGAACTGCACGGGTCCACTTATATATGGTTGCTTTCAGTGAATACTATAAATGTATTTTCCTTATGATTTTCTGAATAACAATTTTTTTCTTTAGCTTACTTTATTGTAAGAATGCAGTATATAATGCATGTAACACATCAAGTATGTTTTAAATCGACTGTTTGTATTAGCAGTAAGCTTCCAGTCAGCTATAGGCTATAAGAAGTTAAGTTTTGGGAAGAGTCAAAAGTTATATGCAGATTTTTGACTGGGGGTGGGTGGGTGGTGGTCAGCATCTCTAATCTCCAAGTTGTTCAAGGATCAAATGTAAGTCTGATCTTTTGACTTTTGATTTCTTTACAATAGGAGAAGTTAAGGCTCCAAGGCCAAATCACAGAGGGGAGCAACATGATTAAAACAATTGCTTTTGGTCGCTACGAGCTCGATACTTGGTACCATTCTCCCTATCCTGAAGAATATGCACGACTGGGACGTCTCTACATGTGTGAATTCTGTTTAAAATACATGAAGAGCCAAACAATACTCCGCCGACACATGGTAAGTTGTCTGGGATTCCATGACCATATTACGATAAGCTATAAATTTCTAGATTTTGACATCTGTCTAGATGACATTTATCTAAGCATCTCTCAGTGGTCCACAATAATGTGGTGAAGACATAGGAAATTGAAAACCACATTTTAGAGTAGGGGTATACCGCCTGTGGCATTGCTGGTGCTTGGTGGTACCCAAAGCAGCTGATAACCCTTAACCACATCCTGTCATATACATCTCCCTGTCTTTTTTCTTGCTGCCTGTTCTTTTCCATTTCTTCCTTGGGATATGGATTACCTCTGCTGACAGTTTTTATGTGTCCCAAGCTAGATGAAAATACATTAACTTTATTAGCCAGAGCAGGGACAATGTGACTCACCTTTGTATCCCTAGCAACTATCGTAGGCTGTATATTTCCAATAAATACGTGTTGATTGAACACTGAATTTAAGGGAGATAAATTATGAAATTAACAGAATGGGTCCTTTGATGCCTTCTCAAGTTGATTAGTGCTTTCCAACTTCTGAACATACTTCTTCCTACAGAAGTAAAGGCTTGAATGTGATTATGTTGTTGATATGCTTACTAGATATTTTGCAGCTTTAAGCCACTTTTCTCCATTTGTGGAATGAAGGGTCTTGTCTTGCCATGGAGTAGGGATGGAGAAAGGGTAAGGGGCAGAGGTTAGATTTTCAGACAGGGAATCCTTTCTTTTTTCTTATAGTAATATAATTTGGCTCAATGGCCTTTTAGGGTGTCTATTATTCTGTCCCCTTTCATCTTTATTTCCCAGGATTTCCATATACTGAACATCTACAACCTAGGCTTCCCATGATTTCTGTCTTACTATACTCTTCTCCCCAGTTTGGTGATACTGCTTTTTTGTGTTTCCAACTCCGGAGCACATAGTCTATAGTGTTCTGGCCCCAAACTACTCCTATGAATTAAACTCTCCAGACTCTGGCACACTTTGACTTGGAGGTGATGGGTGAGGACTGATGGGACACTAGGCTAGAGCACAGGAGATGATGGTATCAGGACTAGTCTCTATGATTTAGACCATAGAAATAAACTAAAATATGGTTTTGTTGTGTGATGGTTAGGCTGGTGTTTTTATTGATGTGAACTGCTTACCATTTATGCCTTTTTTCTTTCTGTTTCTGGTTATTTAGTGGCACTATCCAGCGAAAAAGGGCAAGAAATAGTAGGTGGAGAAAACAGAGGGTCTGGATAAATCTGAGGGTCAAGTAAACATTCAGAATTTTTGAGCATCTACTGTATTATATGAGTTACAAAAATAGAATTTCAGGAAATGAAAGTTTTAATCCATACTTCTGATTTCCGTTGCTTTGGGCATAATCACTTAAATGGACCTTCTTTGTCTGTTTTGCCAACAGGTTTGACTTATGTTTCTGAACAAATAATTGTTGTTTTAGTTTGATTATTGTTCTAAAGAGCCAGCTACGTGTAAAGGTGTGGAGATGGGAACAAACTGTAGTTAGAGTTTTCTTGAAGCAATTCCAGTTAATAAATATTTGGGTTTACATGTGACAAATTGGGACATGATTCTTGAGTTGACCAAAAGTCACAATAACATTTAATAGAAAATCCAAATATATACATGTGCTTTTTAAATGCATTTACATAAAACCTTTTAAGAATTCACCTATTTACAGCATGGCTGACTGGCTGTAGTAAATCTATTTGTAAGTAAAGGTAAGGAAAGGGGTACGTTAATGCCCCCTTGTGGCCAGCTGCCCTCCCCCAGCTTCCTGCTTTTCCACCAGACTGCCTTGCCGCCCCACCCCATCCCATCCTGCCTTTTTTTTCCCAGCCACAGAAGGAATTGCTCCTATTTACTTATATAACAGAGGGGACATTTGGAGGCAACTAGAGAAGTTACTGGTAAAGGTGAGAGTAAAGTAGTCTTTCTTACCTTTACTTAGCAACTCTAAGCTGCTGGAAATAAGCTGCTTAAGAATTTCCTGTTGTCGCAAGGCATTTTATAATAAGCAAGGGTATTTTATTTTTCTGGCTTTTACGTAGTAGATGGTTTTAATCTCCTGGGTTGAAATGATGCCAGAATGTAATCCAGAACACTTGTTCTAAACTACTATAAAAATACCGTAAATATATTACAGTGATTTAGAAGCCTTTGTTTTACTGAAAAAATATTTGCTTTGCTGGATGTTCTCAGCTAACTAAATTTGACCTTGATTCTTTTTCCCTTTTGAGTAGCAGTCTTGTTGGGAAGGTTTGTTTCCCAAACTGATGTGAATTCCATTTCCTTGCAGGCTAAATGTGTATGGAAACACCCCCCCGGTGATGAGATATATCGCAAAGGTTCAATATCCGTGTTTGAAGTGGATGGCAAGAAAAACAAGGTAAAGAGTGGGGACGTAAGAAGAAGGGGTGGTTGTGTTGTACACTCACAGGTTTCAGAGGAATTTACTTTGTCTCCGTTTCACCTTATAAAGAAGATAGAACTCTTCTATTGGCCAAAATATATAATTTCTGCTTCATTATCAAGAAGTTATGATCTCCAATTTTAGACTTTATCTGATAAGTTCAAGAATCACTGGTCCACACGTGAACTCTTTCTCTACTTCCAGATCTACTGCCAGAACCTATGCCTGTTGGCCAAGCTTTTTCTGGACCACAAGACATTATATTATGATGTGGAACCCTTCCTGTTCTATGTTATGACAGAAGCGGACAACACTGGCTGTCACCTGATTGGATATTTTTCCAAGGTCAGCAGGATCTGGAGATTAAGAAGCTAATGGCTAGAACAGGGTGATTGATGTTGGCCCATGGGGACACAGGAAGAGGCAGTACTCTGGGCAATGACAGCCTTTCTCTTTTAGAAAAAAAGAAAAAAAAATCCATATTAAAGATTACTTAATGAAAAATGTGCCATTCTTTATTTAAAAAGCTTCTGGTTTATTCATTTCTGGACTTGTGGATTGGAGCTGCCTATTAATTAAGGGCCAGGGCCCTGCCTACTAACCCACAAGACCATATTTTGTAGTCAAGCCAACTCTCCTGGCTTTGTCTTCCTCTATTCTATTTGCTCAAAACCAGGAATATATTTCTTTTGCCTGGTTTTCTAGCTGGATTCTTTCAGTGATTATGCCACTGTGCCTTTAAAGACTCAAGGTCAGATTTTGTTTATGCCTTTTAACAAAACAACTTTATTGAAATATAATTCACATACCATACAATTCACTCATTTAAAGTGTTTTTAGTATATTCGCAGAACTGCGTAACCACTGTACAGTCAACACAATCAGTTTTCATTACCTCAGTAAGGAAATAAAATACCCATAAGCAACACTTCTCATTTCTGTTCAACCCCTTCCAGCCCTCATGTCTCTATAAACGTGCCTGTTCTGAGCATTTCACATAAATGAAATCATATAATATATGATTTGATTGTTTATGACGCCCTTTCAGAATGGGGACTTAACTTTCTGGGATCCCTTTCTTATCCATTTGGCAGTCCCCGTTTCGAAAAATTGCTTTTAAAGAGTGCTGTTCTAGACTAACTGCAATCTAAACCTTGTCCTGCTCTGTGACTAAAGAATCCAGAGTCAGCCTCCTTAAAATGAGACTGGAAGTCTCAGAGCTAGGGAAACTGGGATTAATGGCTTTGGCTGTTATAAAGGGTGTGTAAAGCTGTGAGCCTGACAGCCACTCTCAGGACTGGTTAGCTAGATATTTTGAAAGCAGCCTTATTTTGTATTTGGGACTGCTGACACTTATGGTTCTAAACCCTTATGACCTTCTCATCTATTTGTTCTTGATTTTAGGAGAAGAACTCATTCCTCAACTACAATGTATCCTGTATCCTTACCATGCCTCAGTACATGAGGCAGGGCTATGGCAAGATGCTCATTGATTTCAGTAAGTAAAACTGCTAAGCTCCACATGGTAGGGACCGTGTGAATATTGTTTGTATTTTTGTCCTATGGTCTCTACAATTCCTGGCATGTAACGGATGTATACTGACATTTATTAAGTAACTGAGCAAGTGGAAAAAACCTGAACACGGATGGTTGGCCTGATACACACTGAATACTCAATGAATACAGGGCTCTGAGTTTGGTACCTGATAGTAGGAAATAATAGAGGGGAGTAAAGTAAGCTCTTTAGGATTATCCCAGCTTGAGACTTAAGAATAACACATAGGTGCATAAGGCTTCAAATTTGTTCCTGGATGTTAGGGATTTCAGTTTTGTAAGGACTCTTCTAGAAGCAACCAGTATACCTGATAGAGGCTTTGGTCCTCGTTAATTGTGGATTCTGTATTTGGGAATTTGCTGATTCACTAGAATTTGTTTGTAACCCCCAAATCGGTACTCTTGGCACTTTTGTGGTCATTTGTGGACATGTGCACAGCAGCAAAAAATAAGTCATCACCACACATTCCCAGCTGAGGTCAAACAAGGTACCTGTTTCAGCTCTCTTGTTGTAGATAAGCTTCCTTTTCATGGTCTATTAGTGCCACTTTTCCCATATTTTTGTGCTTTTTGGTGATGATTTTAAATGGCCCCTAAGTGTAGTGCTGAAATAATGTCTAGAAAGGCTTTGACATTCCTTACAGAAAAAATATGTGTTAGACAAGCTTCATTCAGTCACAGGTTATTGTGCTGTTGGCCATGAGCTCAGTGTTACCGAATCAACAATATGTATTAAACAAGGTGTTTTTAAACAGAAATACATAAAATTATGTATTAATTCATTGACAAAGATGTGACTAGAGGCTTGTAGGAATTTCTCTAGGAGAAATGGTTTAATGTTTGCTATTTCAGTGTTTGCGGTGACTTTATAGAACATAACTACTGTAAATAAGGAAAATCAACTGCACTTGTCTATTTTATTCATTGTTCACTGTTGGATGACATATATTTTAGTCAAAATTAGAAAACTTAGAATTAGCCTTCCAATTCTTTTATTATTAAGCCATTTTTAAGCCACCAGGCAAGAGCTGAATCAGGAAGTAGCATAACTTGCTAAAGGAGAGGAGATTGTTAATCTCTAATAGTAACACTTATTTTATAAACTTGATTTTGTGGAAATTTTCAAACATACAAAAGTAGAATAAAAGTATAATAAAACCCCTGTAATTTTTACCATTTTATGGCCAAACTTTACTTAGACATTTGAAAACTCTGGAAGGCTTCACTAGAGACTTTAATAATGATGGTTATCTGAAGTTATGTTGGGAACAAAGGTAGATGGGAACTGGGTAGACGGGAACTGTGGTGGGAAGCCATTCCGTGATAAAGCTTTATATTTTTCAAATTTTTCAACTTTAAGAATCGATTATCTCAGTACCACCTATGACGTGGTGGTGGTGGTGGTGGTAGTTGGGGGGGACCCGAATCTCATGAAATACTTTTATGAAATGCTTTTACCTTATTCTATATTCCTACCCTCACTTATTTTGATATCTCTAAAAGAAAAGGCCTATTACACTTATAAAGCACCAACAAAATTCTGTAATATCATAAATTGTAATATTCAAAATTCCCTGATTGTTCTTTAAAAAGAAAATTATTTTTACTCAGAGCCAGATAGAATTGATATGTTGGAATTGATAGATGTGGCTTGTAAATCACTCTTAAGCTGAAAGTTCCCATTCCATTTCTCTCTTTTTTTCATTGCTATTTATTTGTTGAAGAAAGGTTAATTTTCCAGTAGAGTTTCTCAGAGTTTGGATTTTGCTGACTGTATTCCCATCGTGTTGAATGGTAGATGTTTAGATGTTAGAACTAGAGGCTTCATGAGCTTTGGGTCCCCCAGCCACCACTACCACCACCACTACTTTAATCGATTCTTAAAGTAGAAGAGTTTGAAAAATATAAAAAGCTATATAATGAAATGATTTCCCATCACAGTTCCCGTCTCCCTGTGGCCAACACACTGGCAGATGACCGTCGTTATTAAAGTTTCTAGTGAAGCCTTCCAGAGTTTTTTTAATGTCTGTTATAAGTAAATACAAATACACATTTTCTCCTTTTTGCTTATACAAAGTCAACTTACTCTACAAAAGCCACACAATGTTCCGTTGAATGAATGGAATTGGCCGAAAACCCTGAGTGATACTGCAAAGCAGACTGTACTTTTTTATACCTTCTTCTATATTGGCATATTGTTCTTTTCTATTAGGATGAGATATAGTGTTGCTAGAAAAAGTCTGTATTTGTTCCCTGGCAGGTTATTTGCTTTCTAAAGTGGAAGAAAAAGTTGGCTCCCCAGAGCGTCCACTCTCAGATTTGGGTCTCATAAGCTATCGCAGTTACTGGAAAGAAGTGCTTCTTCGTTATCTGCATAATTTCCAGGGCAAAGAGATTTCTATCAAAGGTTGGTTTTTGACACTCTATAGTGGTTGTTACCCAAGATGTTAGCTGCACTGAATATTTTGACTTTCACTTTACAACCTTGTCCACATTTTATAACCTTCAAAGGGTAATGCCCTATTCTGTTTTACCTGAATATGAGAACAGAAGGTCCCCTGGATGTGGGCCACTGCAGAGACCCTCACTAAAGGTGCCTAAGGATTCCAGAGCATTTGGCTCTTGGGACTGGTTATATAAGATTTGGTTTCTCAAATCTCAGGTCACTGACATTTTAATTCTTAACAAAAGTCAAAAATGAAGAAAATCTTCAAGTCTTTGAGACACACAGGAGCTTCTAAAACATCCCTGTATATTTATGCAAGAGTATAAGAATTTAGTGGTCTGTCTTTGACCTTGATTTCCATAGGGACCAAGAGTGGTTTCTTTCTATAATAGCCCTCTCCTGTAGTTTATTTGGACTGGTCAAATGAATGCTTAGACTTTTTCTGAACAGGTTGGGTTGAGTATTGGATATTCCAACCATTTGGAGTCCATTTAGATTTCCTACAAGGGAAGGTGCGGTGGGCCTTGATGATGAGGGTGTTTGCACTTTGGCCAGGTTCTCAGTAGCTCTTTTATTTCAGAAATTAGCCAGGAGACAGCTGTGAATCCTGTGGACATTGTCAGCACTCTGCAAGCTCTTCAGATGCTCAAGTATTGGAAAGGAAAACACCTAGTTTTAAAGAGACAGGTAAAGGTTTTAATCAGCTGCATGCTCATTGCTGAATGTCCCTTGAGGCCTAGCAGAGCAAAGTAGGTCCTTAACACTCTTAAAGATAACTTTCCGTTTTTAAAGGTGTTGGCTAGTGTACCTTTTACTTGGTCTCATTTCTTTAGTGTGCAGTGATGCCTTCCTTAGGCTTATCTCCTACCTTATCCTTATCAGAAGCTTTTGGTAAGCTCCTATCTCAAATTTGGATGACATAGTTAAGCAGCTCTAGTTAAGCAGCTTTATGTTGCAGGGCACTTCTGTTGCTTCATGATTTTCTTAGACTGGAGAAAATCGCCCATCTGTAGAGGGGAATTTGTAAACTCCAGGGCTTGTGGAAGTGATTTGAAAAATTCCTTTAACAAATGTCATCTCAACTCATGCCCAGTTTTAATTGTTTTTAGTGGACTCATACATATCATAAGAGAAGATGAGTGATGATTTTCAGGTCTTGCTAAGGGCATAGTAGGAAGAAATGGATTAGGTAGGAAAGCATTTTATGAATCTAAAGATAACTTTTTACACCTGTTTTACACCTTCGTATATCATTAAACCTTTGGTGATTCCTTTGCTAACAATCTGTTTAGAAACCATATATAAAGGCATTTTAGTTGAATGTATATGATAATTTTTCCCATTGTTCTTCCCCAGGACCTGATTGATGAGTGGATAGCCAAAGAGGCCAAGAGATCCAACTCCAATAAAACCATGGATCCCAGCTGTTTAAAATGGACCCCTCCCAAGGGCACTTAAAGTGACCTGTTACTCTGAGCCAGCGAACCCCAGCAGTAGGAATCCGTACCCTAGGGATCTGTCTGTCATTTCTGTCGCTCTTGTGATTGGCAAGTACAGTATCCTTTGGGAAGGCCATCCCCCTCAGGACTATCCTGGCTCCGACCTTTGTGTACACTGCAGACGCTGGTTCTGAGGAACTGTTGTTTCGGCCTCAGTGAGGTTGCCTGGATGGGATCTATATTAGACTTGATTGACGGTCCCTCGTAGCACTGACCCATGGTGTTCTGTTTGGTACTGTACCTGTCCAGTCACTGGTTCTCTCCTCATGTTCTCTAGCCCTGTGAGGTTATGTTATGTCTTCTAAACTTTGTAATAGTGCTTTTTGCCATCTGGTTGCCAGACCTCCAAATATGGTTGCCACTGCTGGGACCTTTCCAGTTTTTCCTTACATGTGTGTTTTGGAGGGGCAGGGAAGAGGTGTAACACTTCTGAGTGTGTATACTGGGAGGGGTCCATTCCCTTTGGATTTCATCCCACTTAAAATTTCTTCCTCCATTTTTATTGAAAGACCTGTTTTGATCATATCAGGCTGGCCAGAGCCAAATACTTTTGAAGCCTCTCCCAGGGATTAGTCTTGGTAACAGCACATAATCTATCTGAATGAGATGGAGAGAAATAAGAGATGGTGATTCTGTATTTTGCATTGAGGTCACCAGTGGGCAGTGGGCAGTGTCTTGGTGGAAGGGAATGAATACTTTTTGCTTCACCAGAAAGTGCCCGGTAGTAAATGTTTTCTTCTCTTTTAACTCCCTGCCCCTTTTTACGTTTGCAGGTGCCAAAATAATTTCCAGTTCTCCCTCTTATGCTGCATGTTAACTGGTTCATTAACTGCAAAACCTTTTCACCAGTACCAGTGTGATATAGCACACCTATACTTCCACATAAGTTGCATTGATTTTTTTTCTGGACATCCTTGGAGAAGTAGAAACTGATTGAAAATGACTTCTGTGTCTCAGCCCATGACTCAACAAGGCAGAATGGCCACCCCGCCAAGGTTTGCATCTTTTTTCAACAGTGCCTCGCCCTCCCTCTAGGACTGAAGTGCTTATGCCCTTCCAAGAACTCCTCCTCCATTTCCTTTTTGGGATTTGCCATTATCCTCCTATTCTCCGGTCTCCTATTTTTGGTGTTGTTTAAGTGAAGGAAGAAATGCTCCCTCTAATTTCTCCCTGGCCCATTATAACCTGCTATCTTGGGGCAGCTTTTGATGTATGACATGTCACCCTTCCCAACTTGGTTGTCTACAACACTGCTGTCTTCATGTGGAGCCCTCACCACAATCCCAACTCTGGTCATTTGTGCCTTTCTCTTGTCATCTCTGTACACTACTTATATTCACTGTGGGTTGGGGGGAGCTAATTTTAAGCATGTTCAATGGCAGCTCCCTGTCAGATTCAGTGTCACTGTTAAAATTTATCCAAAAGCAACTTCACTGGGGATTTTCTTGAGGGGTAAAGGCCTTTTACAGAAGCTAACCCTTCCCCACATGTGGTAGAATGTGCTGTTCTATATCTACTCCTCAATAAAGCATGTTCTCTGCTCAAGTCTGTTTCATCCAGGAGCTCTCTTTGATGTATGAAAATGATGCAGCTGACCTGCTAATAGTAAATGCACTCAGGATCTGTTTTCCCTAGCAGTAAACTGACTGTTGAAGGATGTGGTTTGTGGCTGTGGAAATTTCTTTTTCTGTGATACGTGCTATCTATAGAGGGAGTGCTTACTCTGAACTTGTCTAGGTGGTGGAATCAATTCTCTCTGCCTCACTTTGGTTTCAACTGATAGGTATGCAAAGCAGTGACTAGTCAGTATTATTTGTTCTTGAAGTTCATTTTCCTCTACTTTTAGGGGCAAAGAAACCAGCAGGAAGTTAGGATAGGTGAGGTACAATTGATGCTTTTGGAAAGGTGGGAACAGGTGTATCCCTTTTCATCTCCAGGCTCATTTGCCAAATAGCAATACCACCTCTGATTGACTCTCAAGTTGAGTGGTTTCTGAAAGTAGCTGCATTTTTCTGTAGCATTTACTCAGTGCAGGAAAAGGGAGGTCAGGCATTTATGTGTGGCGGAAAGAGGAGGGTGGGAATTGCATTTGCTGGGGTGGTTTTGTTCACCATCACCAGTAGTGGTAACCTCTCCCAGTGGACAAACTAAGGGTCCTCCTTTGCAAGGTCAGATTCCTGTGTGTCCCTATGGGGGGTGGTGGGGGATAGCATGAAGACAAACCTAGGCTTATATATAAAGATCTTTCAACATTTATCTAGAATGCTGTGTTCCCAAATCTTCCTGTTCTAGATATTTGTACCAAAGGGAAATTCTGCTCTCACATTTTGAAAAAATTAAAGTAGGTAATATTGACCATGGGAATGGAATGCTGAGAGGTCAAGGCACTGTAAGTTTTGTGCAGTCTGGGTCCCAAGCCTCTACTGATTATCACACCCTCCTTTCTTCCCCTAAAAATGCAGTTAAGTCCTCACTTAACATCGTTAATATGTTCTGTGACTTTAAGTGAAATGATGTTTAACGAAACCATTTGTACCATAGGCTAATTGATATAAACAAGAATTAAATTCCTTAGGTGTCTCAACATAACAAAATGACATTGAATGAAATGTTATTTGAGGGCCTGCTGAGAAAGGAAGAATTCTCTGATTTAAATCACAGATATAGGAATAGTAAGTTAAACACTTTCTTAGCAACTTTCAGTAAAAAAAAAAGTTATTCTCTGTGACTGCACAAAGAAGCTCAGCTGTTAGGCTCCTTCATTAGAAGAGCAAAAATCTGGAGATAATCCTGAGTCTAGCTCCTGAAAGCCTCTAAATGAAAGCACTTACTCTGTGTCTGGAGGAAGAAGAGGGCCCTAGCATGTGCTGGTTGCTTTCAATGTAGTTGGCCCTGTGCTGGGTACCTTCTCACTGTCTCCTTTGACCCCCATGTTAGTCCTGTGCAGTAGAAATTCACACTGGTTTTGCGGAAGGAAACAGTAAACAATGCAGCCAGAAATCTCGTTTTGGTCTAACATGAAAACCCACACCCTGCCCCCTACCACTTGTAACTTTTTTGATTCCTTAATGATTAATCATCCTCTTCTAGTTAGATATCCTTGCTTCAGCCACAGGCTCCCATGCTTCCAGCGGCTTCCATCACAAGAAAAATAACAGCTGGTGAAAACTTTCAGATGAAAGAATTGATTTTAGTTGATTCTATAAGCAGCAGTTGGGGGCCAGAGACCTAAACCAGGAATTAAAAGATGTGTTGCATTCTGGCTCTTCTGATTTAGGAATAAACTGTTTAGTGAGTGCTGTTCCTCATGCGGTTTCCTTCAGGTCCTCACCACAACACCACTGAAAGGTGGATAGTATATCCCTTTTCCACATGAGAAAAGTTTGAGGCTCAAGAGGTCTTGCTGCTGGTTATAGAAACAGAAAAGCCCTGCTTAATTCCAAATCCCATACTTTTTTGACAGTGCTATTGTGAGTCATCTGATGCCTTTGCCTGGTTTCCCATTTCTTACCAGGGAATAGTGAGTCATTAAGTAATTTTTAACAATATGGTGTGTCCTTTATATAGCAAGATGATACTTTTGACTTGTCCTCAGCTTTGGTTTGTCCCTCTAGTTCTGGGCAGGTTGCCTGGCTGGGGTTAGGAATGGCCTCAAATAGAGTTCACGTGAAGCCAGTTGGTTCAGATCAAGATTGGAACTACATGTGAAAAGCCAGTATAGAAAAACAGACTACAGCTTGTTTGCAGTAGATATTACTTCTGGAATATAAAATGAATGAAAAGCAACTTCTTGGATGTATATTAGTAACTTTTCAATGGTAGTTATAAACATGCCTTCCTTTTCCTCCTTTGAAGAGCAATTGATAAACCAAATGACATTAAAGAAGCATGGTTTTTATTAGTGCTAGGATCAAGTAGTATAGCTCAGCAGGGATCCTTAATGTTTTTTTTCTTCTGACCTTTTGAGAATCTAAGCATTGGCTCATTTTTTTTAATGCACATAATGCAAATGTATACACATTTGTCTGTAGTTGAAAAGTTGAGCCCTTGTAGTTCATTCCTGGACCGGGGTTAAGAAACCCTAGTATGAGAAAGCAGGAATCCTGCTTTCCGCCTGCCTTCACTCACCGCAAGGCCCTATGCTAGTTATTTGTGTGTTCAGGCTCAAATAACAGGTCCCATTAAGTGAGGGAAAATGACAGTTGGGGAGAATGTCTTTCTCACTGTGACTGTCAATGTTTTCTTCCTCATGTCCTCACAGGTGCACATATGTGCAAAATTCTGTACAGAGTTTCTCAGTATTCTTGAGAAGAGTGAAAATTTCTTTGCTAAATAATGTGTGACGTGTGCTAGGAATTCTAGAAATTACCTTTAGCTATGCATTGGGATCATGGAATTACAGAATTGGGTCTCCACTGGTTTTACCTCAGCACTTTCTGCTACAAACTTGTATGACAGCCTCTTCCAGACTGTTTCCTGCTCTTGGGGGCAGTGTAATTACCCACTTCCTTTGTGGTATCTTCAACAAAGTGCCAATAAGTGTCACTAAGAAGGAAACAAAGGACTGCCCAGTGGTGAATAATGCCCCTGGTGCTGAAATATCAGTTTATCTCCAGTCTTGTGCAATACCTGTAGCTGCAGGTCACGCCGCTAGCATTTCAGGGCTCTGGGGGTTTGTTTATTTGCGCCCAAGAGTGGAGAAAATAACCTGTGCTATTGCACAACTTTGGCTCCATTGTTCCTCCTAGATGTTCTATGTGAAGTATAAACACCTTTATTCTAGACGAGTCATGTTCATTCCAAGAAGCAGTCTTAACTGGGTATTTGTTTCTGGGAATAGCTCATATATTTACTCTATTCCAAAGTTATTAGGAACCTACATTCTTACCTCAAAAAAAGTGGGGTAGATGATCTAGAGAGGTGGCCCCACCAGCGATTTGTCCCATATCTGGGTGTGTGTGCTGCTCTTTCCAATAAGGGATCTGTTTTTCATTCTCTTGTGTGGGCTGGACTTTTGACTAATTAAATGTGACAATTAATATTCTGGCACCTTCCACTTTTGTTCTGGAAAACCATCTGACATGTTTCTAAACCGGAAGCTTGAGCTAAACTGAATATTTATTTTGAGGGACTGTATAAGCCCATGTTTAGGAGAGCCAAGATGCTGCAGCCAATAGCACCAGAAACCCAAATGCCATACTCCCAGCAGAATGCAGCCTCCTCCTGAGTGATCCCTGCTGATGCCACCCATAACTAAAGAAACATCCAGCTGAGTCCAGCCAACCTAGAGAAATAATTATGTTACACCATTAATTGTTTTAGGATGGTTTGACCCACAGCAATGGGTAAATGAAGGAAGAGGACTTCAGAAACTAAAGGGCAGGGATTCAGTTTAGCCTTGTAGGTTCCATTAACTAGCTGTCTGTGATTGGAAGCCAGATGTGTCCAGAAGAGGGCCACCACCTCGTGTGACTCCAGGAGGCACCATTCCTATTCCATATAATGGCACCCTCAGAGCCAGTTTAACCCTTGTTTGGTCATTTGGCATATCTCAGTTTGTTGTTTCTGAGGTCCCTAACTGGCCTTGGAATTCTTAGCTACCTCTTTATGGAAGTGGATCTGGAAAAGTGAATTATACTATTAAGACATGGCTCATCCCTTTTCTGCTCAAGAATTCATATGGCTTCCCATCATTCAATGGATTAAATTCACATTTATTACTGGCTTTTAAGTCTTTCCATGACCTGACAGAACCTACATAGCTTTCATTATTT